TACTCAGTTTTCAGAGCTTCTCTTGTGTCTGCTGTTTCTTAAAAATAACCAGCTTGAGGGGCCTTCCCAGTGGTGCAGAAGTTAAGTGGATACATTCTGCTTTGGCAGCCCTGGGTTCACGGGTTCAGATCCTGGGTGCAGACATGGCACTGCTTGGCACACCATGCTGTGATAGGCATCCCACATATGAAGTAGAGGAAGATTGGCATGGATGTTAGCTCAGGGCCAGTCTTCCTCAGCAAAAAGAGGAGGATTAGCAGCAGTTAGCTTAAGGCTAATCTTTGTCAAAAAAAAAAAAAAAACAAAGTAAAAAAATAACCAGCTTGAAATACTTGTGGGGGATGAGAATTTGCCACCTCAAAATGTGTCTCTTCGGCTTGAGTATTTTTAAGAACAAAAGAATCAGAAAGAAACTTTGACCTTCCTCCTAACTGCCTGAAAGAATTCAAGATAAAAGACCTGTCCCAGGAAGGAGCTATCACCATAGGTAACTCTAGGTGTGGTAGACAGGAAGGCACCTAGCAAGGCCAAAGTTCTCTCTTGGGTCCCAGTGTCTATAGATGACCCAGCAAACATTTGTTTACCAAACATTTGCTTTTCCATCTCCGTGTGAATTGCCTTCCACCCCTTTGAAGCTCCAAACCACTACTCCCAATACCCTCCTTTGTCTTTAGCTGAAGATGGTATTCAAGGTGGTGGCCATTTTTGGCAAGTTACTCAGTTTTTCTGGGTTTCTCTCATATATACAAGTTATTAAATTTGTTTTGTTTTTTTCCTGTTATTCTGTCTTATGTCAATTTAATTCTTAGACCAGCCAAAAGTACCTAGAGGGTAGAGGAGTGTTTCTTCCTCTCCTACATAACCAATATGCCAAAGAGGCATATTTTGGGGTGGCACATTCTGCTCTCCTACATTATACCTTGATTTTAAAACAAAAGAGACCCTAGTCAAAGCTAAACATCAATAAGTCAGCACAAGTCTTAAACACACACACGTATTTGGGGAGAAATCTTCCTCTTATCAAGAAGTTCCTTGTGCTACAATATTTTCCATATCCTAGAGGAAAATTCACCAATAGGCATCTTGCCTCTTATTATGGAAACTAACATTAGGAATACTTCTGTCTCTTTGAAAAATTTAGAGATTTGTACTGGTCTGCAATTGGCAGATTTCTCCTGAAGCTGCCTGATCACCCTGCTGTCTATTCCATTTATTCTCAATAATTTTTTAATTTCCATTTCCCTACCTGCTTTACTCACAGAAGCATAACTCTGAATCAAGTGTGGACTCTGTTTGTGGCCATTACCTTCATTCTCTAAGGGGCAGGCTAACACACATTTATAACAGGCCTTTCTGTGAGCAAAACTATGGTCTTACAACTTCCTACTCTTTAAGTATTTCTCCATCTTCAGCAGCATTCATATCATTTCTTTGCTGCTGCTGCCTTCTCCAGAATTAATTAATTCATCAAATATTTATTGAGAACATTCTATGAGCCATACCATTCTAGAAACTGGAATACAAAAGAGAATAATGTCTCTGCTCTCATGGAAATTACAATCTGGTAGAGGAGAAAACAATAAATAAACAATGGTCCCCCCAGTTTCTTTTCTTTTTTTCAGATAGTGTTGTCTGCTTAGAAATCAATAGTAGGTAATGAAAGAGACTGGGGAAGTTCCTTTGTAACGAGAGGACATCTGATCAGAGTGATGTGGAACCAGCCATTTGAGGATCTAGAGAAAGAGCAAACACAAAGCTTTGTGGGAAGAAATCAAGCACATTTAAACTTACTGTCATGTAAATTCTAGGTGACCTTAAGTTCGTCTGATGTGTGTGGTTTTGTTCCTGTTTCTGTGGTTTGACTGCTTATCCCAAGCACGTAAAGCTAGTGCCTGTCACATCACAGGCATTCAATATATATACGTGGAAGAAATTGTAGGGGAGGAAGAATTATTCCTCTACCCTCTAGGTTCTTCTGGCTGGTCTAAGAGTTAAATTGGCATGAGACAGAATAACAGGAAAATGTCAAACAAATTTAATAACACGTATACTTGGGAGAAACCCAGGAAAACTGAGTAACTTGCCAAAATAGCCAAGGCCACCACCTTAAATAAGATCTTCAGCTAAAAGCAAAGGGGGCTGTTGGGGATAGTAGTTCAAGACTTCAAAGGGGAGGAAGGCAATTCACATGGAGAGAGGAAAGCAAATGTTTGGTAAACAAATGTTTCTGAGCCATCTGTAGACAATGGGACCTGAGAGAGAACTTTGATAAAATGGGCCTTGCTAGGTGCCCTCCTGTCTACCACACCTAGAGTTATCTATGGTGAGAGCTCCTTCCTGGGGCAGGCCTTCTGTCTTAAATTCTTTCAGGCAGTTAGGGGGAAGGTCAAAGTTTCTTTCTGATTCTTTTGTTCTTAAAAATACTCAAGCCAAAGAGACATATTTTGGGGTGGCAAATCCTGATCCCCCACAAAATGAAAAAAATGGGAGAAGGGCTGGAATCTGGGAGTGAAAGAGAAAGGTGTGAGCCTGTGACAAGGAAACACAGGACCTCCAGGGCCAGGGAAACGGTTGGAGTTTATTCTAAATGCAATGGGAAACCTTTGCAGGTTTTTCATCTGGCGGGGCCTTGATCTTACTTACATTTGAAAAGATCATTCTCTCTGCTCAAGGGGAATAAGGAAGCCTTGTGGAAATGCTTCCTCTTTGAGTTTGACCTCCCAGTCAGAGGTCAGTGGAGTTTGGATTTGTACTGTGTATTGAGCGCTTCCAAAGCCTTTCTTCTCAGGGGTTCAGTGGTGACCCCTGTGTCCTCCAGCCCTGCTCTGCCCTGGCCACCACCTTTCCTCAGATTTAGAGTTTCCAGGCCCAAAGTGACTTGGGCTATTCAATGATACAGAAACCTTTCTTTTACCTTCTTTTCCTCAGAAATTTGATCTGATGCTGCTTCCTCTAATGTCCCACTTCCTTTCTCTCTATGGCTCCTCTGTTCTTTTGAAGCGAGCCCGCTGCTGAGCTGCAAAAGCTGCAGCCAGCTGCCCACACTGATCCTGCTCCTATTACCCCCTGTAGGGCCAACATGGACTGGATCACAGCATCTTCCTTTCCTTTTCCATTTCCTGTTGTTTTGACTGCAGAATAAAACCTGTCTTTTAAGTTGATTTCATCCTCCCTTAGTTTCTGATGTTCTCTTAAAAATTCAAGTGAGAGTTTTCTGACCACACGCCAAATTCTGGAGCCTCCTCGCCCTCTCACCGTCATCTTCATTCTCTGAGCAACCCTGGTTCCAGCAGCCACAAGTATTCCAGGCACACGCCTTTCAAATGTTCCCCTTGTCCCATAAGTCTGTGATAATTTTCATGATTTATTTTCTCTACCACAAGCTGCAACATGGCCCATAGAGTCCAAGTCTCCCTTCTTCAACACCTGTTCATTGATGGATCCCTTCTGCCTACTGGGTCTCTCATTCAGCGCCTGGGTCTTTGAAATCCACAATCATGATCAAGCTAATAATATTATTAGTAAATCATAGATAACATGCATTGAGCACTAGTTATGCGGTAGTAAAGTAGGCCCTATATTATCCCCATTTTAAAGGTGAGGAAACCTGAAGAATACAGTGTTTTAAATAACTTGCCCAAGGTCACACACCATTGAGTTAGATGGAACAAGGATCTAAGCTCAGGCAGTCTGTTATCTTAAACTCTGGGTAAAAGGTTGTGGAGGAGTGAGAGGGGCCCTTTAAGAAACTGCAAATGAGCCATACAAATGTACAGATTAGACCTTCAGTAGTCCCACTTTGACCTTGAACATGAGTGAAGCATATTGAGAGGAACAGTATCTAGTTCTGCCTGTCAATGCCTGGCACTCACAATACAAAAGCCAAAGATTCCAGGCATCAGGACTCAGTTTGTTTTGAGTGAACCTGCCCCAGTTCCTGGGGAACTTCACAATTTTTTGAGTTGGAACTCCTGGATAAGCCTACCCCGGTTCCAAGTGTAAACCCCATCCCCAATGAGAGCGGACCCTTCGTGCGGTAGGTGAGAGATTGTTCACTGTTCTGTTACTGCTCTGACAAGCCTGAAGTCCTGCCCAGGTCCCCTTGCTGTTGCTTGTAGGTAAAGAACCACAAAGTCCAGACCTCTCAGTAGAGGAGCTTCTGTCTCTCGTCATGGTACACTTAGAGCTCTGAGGGGCAATCTCATCTCTTCCCCTGTGGGTTCCAAAGGAGCTGAGAAATAGACACAGGACTCAAATAAGGATCACAACATCAGCCTCGTGGCTGGCAAAGAATCCAGCCTGGATTGAAAGTAAGGAAGGCCTTCCCGAAACTTTTCCCCTTCAGATCTAAGCTCCAGGACAGAGCAGCAACAAGAATCTCCATCTGCTTCACATCTGGTGGAGAGCAAAGGATTCCAGAGCCCAGAGAGAGCTGTCACATGCTTATGAAATCTGGCCCCTGAGTGAACCAATGGAGGTCAGATGGGGGACATGGCACCCACAGGCTAAGTCCCTCCTCCTTCCACAGGGAGGAGCCAGTCAGAGGGAGATGGAAGATTCCCCAGCCTGTGACCCTCTCCAAAAGAACCTGGTCTTGCCTAATTATGTTGCTATTATTAACTGTGTCCTCCCTCGCACTCCAGGTCATTCTATTGAGAGGGAAATGAAGACACAAATATCTGAGAAAGTACACCTATGAGAGTCTGGGACAACTGGCAGAAATTGGGGGAGATGGGGTCACTTAAAGGGGAGTTGCAGGATGTCCACGCTGGGGCTGTATGACTAGAAACTCCTAACATAAACATAAGTCCACCAGCCAGCCAGCTTAAATTGTTAGGGAACTTAATGGCGGCCAGGTAAACAGGAAGGGGACTCAGAGAAGTCACTCCCCACACTGTATTTGAATAGGAGGACTGAAAAGTACTAAAATAAAGAAGAAAATTGTTTAAAACCTGTAAAAGATTTATTTCAAAAAAAGATTGATCACAGGAAAATTTAGAAAATTTTAGACAGCAACTGTATTAAATTCTCAAGCAAATTGAAGAAACCAGAGACAATGGAAGATGAGAGTCGATTAAAACATACCAAATCCTGGAAAGAATTTAAGACAACTCAAAAAGCACTGCAGAATTTTAAATGGCATTAGAAACACTAAAGATCCCAATATGCCAAACAGAAAAGCAAATCATTAATGTGGAGGATAGTTTTGAAAGAATAAAAATAAAAGAAATTTAAAAAATAAAAATTCAAAATATAAGGATATACAGATAAAAGTGATCTGAGTGATGATAAATGAGAAAGAAAAATAATGGAACTCACAAGAAAAAATAGAACAAATTAAACAGAAACAACAATAAAACATTTCTTTTTAGATTTTTGAAACTTCAAATTGAAAGGATTAGGAATTAAAGATAATTCTAACTTATAATGATCACATCCCGATGGTAGGGGAAGAATGTTAGAAAAATTCTACTCCTATGTCCTTTAGATAATTCAATAAAGCACAATAAAATGGGGTGGGTCAGACCACAGAGGGAAATGAAAATGCTGGCAAGACTACAAATAAACACATGCAGTCTTTCAGGAGAAAAAAAAATGTTGGCTCTCCGGCTCTTAGACACCTAAAATGCAGTGGCTCTCAACCTTGGCTGAACATTGGAATCACTTGGAGAGCTTTAAAAAATGTAGATGCTTGGGGCCCACCTCCACAAAATCAGATTTCATTGGCCTGGAGTGTGGCCTGTTAATTCTAATGTGCAGCCCTGAATAAGACCCTCTGCTCTGCACTACCCTTGCGATGATGAAAACAGTGGAGAAGGGGGAGGGAAATATAGTCCCCCCTGGGCATGGGAGCTGTGTATGTAAGACAATAAAACATCAGAGCGAAAGATGAGGAAAAACTAAGGTGTAATCTCCAGGAGGCAACTTCAGGATTCACAAAAGGGCCTCAGGACCACAGCTGGGGCTTGATGAACACTTCACCGTATGCTTTATACTTCAGCTCCTGCCAGTCTATGACATTAGGACTGAAGATGCTACCCTGATAGACATTGTTAATCTCATCTGGTGACAGCACAAAGTCCCACATGTTCACATCTCCAATGTCTCCCACGAAAGACTGGCCTTTGTCAAAGCCCCCACCAAAGGAATCCTGCTCCTGTCCCAGGATGATGCTTGCGTCTGTCTCCACATTATATCCCTTCTTCAGACTCCTCCTCACCATGGGCTTCCCATCTACCCAGAGCTCTGTAATCCCTGAGTGGGACTCCCAGGTGACACAGAAGTGCATTGGTGCAGGAGAACGCTCAGGAAGCTTGAAAAAGACGTCAGCTCCACCCACGCTTACACTGTATGCTCCTTTCTGTCCCTTGAAGAGGAGGATCTCATTATTTTGCTTCTTTGTGGCATAAGAGAAGAGGCTATAATCACGGGTCAGGTCGGTATAGGCTTGCAGGCACACGGTGAAGGCTATGAGTGGCTTCCTTAGCTGTGCAGTCAGAGACACATAGGAATTTTCTGACTCTTTGGGGAACACAAAGGCCTGTTTGGACATGTCTGTAGAATAGAAAACAGAGAGGGGAAATGTCAGCAGTTGAGCTTTGTTAAAAAACAAAATTCAGGTGAGTAAATCTAAAGCTCTAATTGGCTTTATTCGACGATTCATGAGGCAGGCAGCATCCTATCTAGCAGATGGAAGGAGCTTCAAAGAGCTCTACAAAATGAAAGCCTTTTATAGGCAGAAGGGGGCAGGACGAGGAAGTTTCTAGCAAAGAGTGGATGATTTCAGGCAAAGCCGCCTTCCTGGGTAAGGAAGGGGTCTTACCGTGTTACCTCACTACTACTGACCAGGCAATCCCAGGTTAAAAGTGCGCTAAAACCACAATTAGTTTAGGTATTAAGTCTTGGCTCGCTGACATGGGGCTTAACACAAGAGACTCCATTTTGGGCCTGTTGTCTCTTTTTTAACAGCTTGTTAGGCCACAAAGATGTATTCTCTCACTATATAGAAAGAAACTGGATTTAGAAACGACAGACTGCCCTCTTCCCCAGACCATGACCCCTCCCCGATGCTGGCCGCTTTCCCTAACTTGGCTTTGCACAGTCTAAGCTCGAGACAAGAACTCAGCTACCATCTGAAGCAGTGCCTACCTCTCTGGGAAAAAGCACTGGGGAGGCTGATGACGATCAAGAAACACAGCAACAGCTTCTGCATGTTCCCTCCTTGCAGTCACTGTGCCTAGAATCCTGAGATATCCTCCTGGAAGAAGGTATCAGCAGCTGAGATTCTGGGCTTGGTCCTCTGAGATCTCTCTGTCTCAGGGCTGCTCCATCTTGACCTTATATGTGCAACTGTCAGAGTGGCTCAACTGACGGGTTAATGATTTTCCAAAATTGCCACTTGGAGCCATGAATCAAAGCTCTAAGAGCAAATAAACCAAGATAAATCACAAAATGAGAGATCAATATGGGTTATTTATTAGAGACTCTGTGGTGTCCGCTGGTGCTCCAAGAGCTCTGTGTGGCAATGCTTGGTGAATTAAAACAGTCACATTCTGGGAATCCATTCTGGGGAAGAGCCATACAATATGGGGACGGGAGAGGCTTTATTCACAAAGGCAACCATAACATTACTTAGGAGAGTGAAAAATCAGAAAATTGGGGCATATTTCAGTAAATTGTATATATCTACATCCACTAAATAGAATGGAAAGTCATTTAAAAAATAGTTGTGAATTTTATGTTACAATATGTTAAAATGCTTATGATACTATAAGAGAAAAAATAAATTTGTTTGTACACTATTTTTTAAAAGAAGTAACTAGTTTATTAAAAAAAAATCTATTAGGAATACCCCCAAACAATAAATGTTCTTATCATAGTGACATTATGGAGGATTTTTTTTTCCCCTCATTAGCAACGTTCCCATATGTGGCTATTGCTTCTAAAAAGAAGTGTGTGTGTGTGTGTATCTGTGTCTGTGTCTGTGTAAGAAACAAAGAAAGAGGAAATGAAGGTCAATAGTCCTTGAAGCTCCAAAGCTACTGTTTCATTTTATGAATAGGACACTCAGTCTGACTGCGGCTATTTGGCTTTACCCCAAGAATACCTAAAACAGAGAACAGCATCAGTTAGATACCCTGAGATATATGTATTTAGGTACAAAAGTACTTTGCAATAGGGGCTGGCCCCGTGGCCGAGTGGTTAAGTTCGCGCACTCCGCTGCAGGCAGCCCAGTGTTTCGTTGGTTCGAATCCTGGGCGCGGACATGGCACTGCTCATCAGACCACGCTGAGGCAGCGTCCCACATGCCACAACTAGAAGAACCCACAACGAAGAATACACAACTATGTACCGGGGGGGCTTTGGGGAGAAAAAGGAAAAAATAAAATCTTTAAAAAATAAAAAAAATTTTAAAAATTTAAAAAAAAAGTACTTTGCAATATATAAACTCCTATATAAAACACTATAATTGCATGTATAAAGAATCTTGAGCTTATTCATATAGCCTCATCATGAGTTTTCCCATTGATATTCATTGAGAAATTAATAATAGAGGTTATTTCTCAATTGACTGGAAGAACCAACTAACATGTGGGTGGCATATTCTAAACACACAAGAAAAAAGAACTATTACAGATGGTAGTACATTTCTGGAAAGGTTTGTTTTCTAATGACGTACAGTTAAGTTTTCTTTTTAATTATCCTTTCTTAAACTTCTTGCGTCTTATTTTTAAACTATAAGATTGGCTTAAAGCAATTGCTTCAAAACCTTTCCGCTTCTTAGTCTAAACATTTGCAAAATAAAAGATATATACATGGGGCTGGCCCCGTGGCCGAGTGGTTAAGTTTGCGCGCTCCGCTGCAGGCGGCCCAGTGTTTCGTTGGTTCGAATCCTGGGCGCGGACATGGCACTGCTCATCGGACCACGCTGGGGCGGCGTCCCACATGCCACGACTGGAGGAACCCACAACGAAGAATACACAACTATGTACCGGGGGGCTTTGGGGATAAAAAGGAAAAAATAAAATCTTTAAAAAAAAAAAAAAAAAGATATATACATGATCTGAACCAAAAAAAGATATGGAACATGTGAAAAGATTGGGACAAAGAAGGAAGAAGTTGTTTTCCCAATACCCAAATTGCTTTATTGTTAGCAATGAGCTCCCCAGGTAAGTCAAAAGAATGTGACTAGCCATGTGACGTGTGGACTCTTTCGAAATATTACTGATTTCAAGGACCCCACCACATTATCAGAACTATCTCCAAAATAGTTATCCTGAATAAGGCTTAAAACTGAAAAAGAGAGAGCTAGGGGCATAGAGACGTAGAGATAGGGAGAGGGAGAGCTAAAGCAATAGAAAGAGAAGAGAGAAAAAGTGGAAGACAGAAATTGAGAGACCTTCCCAATGAACCATTTCACAATCTAGCCCTGGTTCCAGCAACCTGCCAACACAGTCCCAGAACCACTCACATCATATGACAGAGCATTGGGTGAACTTTATCAGGAGAGAGGTGTAATAAGTCAGCTTTACCCTCATGTCAGATGTTTGCTATGGAGGCCTCTCCTCTCTTCCTCTTACGGCTTGTGATAACCCAATAAACATACCAAAGGATCGCGGGTTTTCTAGACATCTTGGCACTTTGGTTTCTCCCTGATTTAAAGCCCCAGTAGCTCAGACAAACACCTCAAATTGCAGAGATCCAAAGTACCAATTGAGGAAAAAGAAGAAAACATTCTAAGACAAACAGAATGTTTGTTATCATGGTGCAGCTTTACTGACTAAATAAAACATGGCAAATATAGTGTTATCACTTTACTTAATTCTAGAACAGCGCCGACTCTAGACCCCAGGGTTTCAGTAAAGAGTTTGGTATGCTCCCCCAATTGAAACTGAAACCACTAGAGTACAAGGAAAGGAGGAAGAAAGGGACACATCGGTCAGAAACAACCTCACAATCAGTCAGAGACAAGAGCCGTCTTTTCAAGAGTATCACTGAGATAGAACAGTGGATGCCCAGCCTCCACTGCTGGAGACTTGGCTGCACATTGTATCACCTAAGAAGCTTGAAGAAAACTGCTTCCTGGGTCTCACCACCAGAGAACCTGATGTAGTGATCTGGGATGCGGCCTGGGCAGCTGGATTTTTAAAAGTTCCCCAGGTGATTATAGTATTAGCATGCAAAGGTGAGAATTGCTGGCTTAGAGAATTTCTCATATGATTCCATGCATTGGTTAATGCTTCCTAGGATATGAAATTATGTCTAAAGGCACACATGACATTGGAAAAGGTGGGGGTTTCTAAGTCAAAGAAGAACTTTGACAGTGTGTCAAAGGAATAATCTACCTAACATCATGTTGATGCTGAGGCTGAGTATGGTGTTTATGTGCAAGTCATTCTGCTAAACATATAATAACAAAATGAAAAGTTGGGAGATCGCCTGTTGCCCAGAAATGGTAGTTAACAATTTGGATATATGGCATCCTGGAATGGCTTCCCCTTGAGAAAACATGCACACATCCCATACTCTCCCTCCCCCACTAGGAGTGTAAGTGCAGAGTGTAAGCTTTTGTTGCATTTAGGGGTAGAGCACAGTGATTAGAAGCACAGGGCTCTGTGGCCACATTGCCTGGGTTCAATCCAAGCTCTGGGCAAGTTAATTAACCTCTCTAGACTTCAGTTTCCTGCTCTGTAAAATGAGGGCTATAAAAGGGTACTTACCTCATAGGGTTGTCATTAAACTAATAGATGCATGTGAAGGACTTAGAACAGTGCCCAGGACATGGTAAGATCTCAGTATGTGTAAGGTATTTTTAAGACTGTGATCTGCCCCATGTGATTAAGCTATTATCCTCCTGGGAGCAGTGATAGAAACTTATGAGATCACTCATCTGTATGTATGAAAAGGCCATAGGGTAGGGGTGATCACACTGAATGAGTTCACAGAGAGTGCACCAGACACAGGCCAAGGCAATAAGCTGAGTCAATATATACTAGATCCTTCTTTAAAGATGACCACTTGCCTTCAAGCCTATTGGGATCCAGGCATGTCCCCCAGAGAAGCCTCTGAGCTGCCGGGAAGACACTAAAGTGATGGTTCCAAAAACATATTGGGCAAAAGAGCTTGTGAATTGCAGATTCTTGGGTTCTAACTCCAGAGAGTCTAATCTGGTAGGTCTGGGATCAATGAATCTACACTCATAATAAACAGCCTAGGTGACAATGATGCCTGTAGTCAGCAGGCCACAATTTAAGAATTACTGGACCAGGCGATCCAGGAAATTTGAGATAGGAGGCTGCATTTTCTGAAAAAGAAGGCTAACAAACCCACTTAACCCACTTTCCGGTACAGGAGAAATGAAAAGATGTGTAGCTGAGACAGAGGCTGAGAAATGCAGGGAAGGAATCCAAGCAAGTTACGCCTACCCATCTGAGACTAGAGGTTGGTTATCTTAGGATAAAGCTATTTAGAAATCAAAGCAGCACTTCTCTTCTTTCCCTGGGATTCTACGGATCAGAAATCTGTACTTCAGCAACCCCATTTGAGTATTTTGG